CCCCAAAACCCCAAAACCCCAAAACCCCTATAGCTTGTTAAATTTATTACTATTTTATTTATGGAATCAATGAAGAAATTATCAGGTATAAGACTGTTCGAAGTATTACCTCAGACTCCTGTGGTATATATCATACTCATGAAAAAACTTGCTTGATCAACTTTTGCTTAAATTTGGCTTAATGAGGCAAGCAATTTCGAAATTTCTTTCATATTTTTGAAATCTTAATTTCTCGGTTATCTCTTTAGGAATTAATCATGGGAAGGTAAAGCCTAAGACTCCAAAACCGAAAGAAGTTGCTATGAGGAATCATAGGTAAGCTTGTTATCATTTAGAATTTTGTGGTCTTAACTTCACCTAGGATCAATGCTTTAAACCAGATGAGTAACTCATGAGATATTGATAATTCTCTGAGTGAGAGTTTATCAGTGGTGAAGCAACTACCTGATCAGAATACAGAGCCATCTAGGAAGTTGATTTATCAAAATAGTTCCTTCCAGAAGCCACTTATTGATCATTTTGCAAGCAAATATTACACAGAGAAAGAGTTCAAGGCTATGGGGAATATAGTAAGCTTTTAATTTGTTTATCTGTCTAGGTTGATAAGACCAAAGAAGGTGATTTTATTTCTAAAATTTAGATTTGAATATCAAAATAGCAACGTTAGAAGAGCGGATCGCTAAGCTTGATCCTTTATATACCTTCCTCACAAATTATGACGTCTCTCATGAGAAATCAATCTTGGCGTACATCACGACTCATATCTATGACTCGTTCATAAAGGACATGCACGAGAGGCATGCAACTAAGGAGGATTTTAGAAAGATCATTTCTAAAAATGACATCTTAAAAATTGATATCGATTTAGTTAAGGACAAGCAATATGGTATTCCTAATATAAACTTTAGACATTGAGAAATAAGATCTCTGACTTTCAGAAGGAATGTTTGTCTCTCAGAGGTAGTCTCAAAGACAAGACTGAAGTTACAGATTTCTTGGGTATTTCAATTCTCATCTTGTAGATTATCAAGCAACTGCAGCACGAATCTATGCTGAGAAAAAGTCTGTTAAAGGAATTTATAAAGAACTCAAGTAATTCAAGCTTTGAATCTATAGGGAATACTTGAAAAGGACAGAATTTGAACTTTTTAGCGAAGAATTTGACAACTATAAGTCTGATGTAAGCTCCTTCAAACATCTTTAGATCGATGCTTGGTATCACAAAAAGTTCGTCATCGATAAAAAGTTCCAAGACTTTCGCCTAGAAGTCCAAAATACGTATCAAACTTTGAACAGTGCCACTGAGAAGGAGGAAAAGGTTTACCAGTACATTCAAGATATATTCGAGAAGGTATGATCTGCTTGTTTTCTCAACTTCCAAGACCCAAACTACTCCTTGAAAAGTCCAGAGTAACTATCCCGTATAGATTAAGCAAGAGCGTGAAAAGTCTCAGAAGCAAAATCTTGAAATAGAGAAACTCAAAAATGAAATCGAAGTAATTCACAGTAAGAATTTGGCATTTTCAGAGTAAAATTTATAGAAAATTTCGAAGAGAAAGCTGGAGTGCAAGATGTGGAATTAATCAAACAAAAAATGAAGAGACTTGTACTACAGAGCGAGTTTGATGATCTTCGCAAGAAAGTCTTTCCTGAAGTCAAGAAAATGCAGAAGACAGTTTTAGAGTTTGATAAAGCTCAAAGCCAGCATAATGAAATTATTAGGAGATTCGATGAGGTTCTTTTGGAAAAAGCCTCCAAAACCTCTGTACAACAAGTATGGATTTAATGTAACTCTAGATTCTGCATAAGCTTAAAATGGATTTTGTTGAGAAAGATGAGTTCAAAATTAAACTTGTGGAGTCAGACAAGAGATTCACTGACAACTCAATCATCTTCAAGGGGATAAAGCAAGAAATTAAGAGTATAAATGAGCGAATTTCAAACGAGATTTCAGAAAATATCAGGCAAATCACGAAAAATGAAGCTGATAAAATTGTAGAAGATATGAAATAAAATGCTCAAGAAGCATACAAATGGAGATGAATTGTTGAAAATGAAACAAACACTCGATAAGAAGGCTAACCAGATCGACATAGAGGAACTATATGACAAGAAGACTGATAAAGCAGATACTGAGTGCACTCAGAACTCTATAGAGGTCATTCACAAACAGATAAAACACCTTGTGATGATGCTGATGGAGAGTTGAAGAGTTTTGATGGAAGCAGAGCTTTCTAATAAACAGACAAAGATTAACAAGCTCAATACTATTCTTCAGCAATGCTTTATTTTGGCTAAATGGGTTAGCAAATTCAACCCTGGATGCACAAATGTCTTTGATCTCGTAATGCCAGACGATATGCAAAACTTCCAAGATTTTGTGAAAAATGCTATGGAGGAAATTCCTTTCTCCAATGTAAAATCATATGAGAATAAGCAGGCTTTAACCAAAAAAATTCAAAGGATAAATACATTAGAAAGGACACCCAAGCCTCCACTACTTCATTTGGGATCGGTTACTGCTAAGACTAGGATTTTGAATCATTTCCAAAAGAGGGAGATTAAAGGAAATGCTAAAAAGAACTACACCATGCATGGATCTGCAAGAAAGAACAAGAATCTAGCCAAGGCTAAAAAGAGTAAGCTACTTTTCTAAATATAGTCATGATGAACTTCAGGAAGAGCGTGAAGGATGATACAGCTTTAGACAAGTGACTCATATTGCTATAACTCTATAGGTCTTATAAAACTCACAGGTTGAACTCTAAATATGATGAGGACAGGAAAGTCAAAGTGGTGCTAAACAATACACTTGATTATTACCACTAAAGCACCATTTTTAGAGTTTGAAAATTTTATGGGGTTTTGGGGTTTTGGGGTTTTGGGGTTTTGGGGTTTTGGGG